ATATATATATATATACATATATATAGTTAGAAATGTTAGATAATTTATCTTATTGTAAGACTTTGTTTTACATGCTTGTTTCTAGATTTAAATATCTCATTATGCTGCATAGACAGATAATTTAAATTTTTATTATCTTCTTGATTTTTCACCCCCCCTTTTCTGTAGAAAAGCCTTAATCTTGCCTTGAATGTGAGCTGTTCATTAAGGTAATTTGAAGAAACTCTCTCTGTGTAGGTTTGATTATGTCGTTAGTGCTCTATTGAGCTTCCCTAAAGCTAAGGGTTTTGAACAGCTTCTGACATGAGAGTTTCTTTTTTTTGGGCTACTGACTGTATCCCAGAGAATAAACCTTAAACATTTTCTCTTAGTCTATAATTCACTTAATGGCTTGGCAATAAAACACATTACATAATTTTCAGTGGATCAACCACCCAGACATTTTCGGTCTTCTGGATCATATCTGTTTTGCACCCAGAACCAGAAACAAAGAAAGACTTTTTTTTTTTTTTTTTTTTTTTTTTTTTACTTCTTATGCTCTATTAATCTGGAATAACCTCCCAGAAAACTGCAAAAAAGTTGAAACCATTTATTCTTTTAAATCAAGGTTCAAAGCCTCATTGTCTAGAGTTTCCTGTTATTGCTCCATTTAAACTGTTAGCTGAATTATTATTGATTTTAGTCTGTGATCTAATTTTTCTTTAACTGATTTAATGTTGTTGCCATGTAGATTTGCTGGAATTTCCTTTTTCTTTTTTTTTTACTAAGTTTTATTCATATAAAGCACATGTAATTGTCCTCTTACTGATTATGATATTTAAACTTGCCTTTCTTAATATAAAAAAATAAGAAAAAATATTAGTCACTTTGATTAACCCATCAAACAGCTCAAAAGGTAAAATTGGTTAATTGCTTGTAAGCAACTCTAGTTAAAAATAAAAAAACAGGAAAATATTTAAGTTGGATATGAAGTACTGACTGAAAAGCTCAGAGTTTATTGTAAATACAATCTTCATAAACAGAATGACTGACCTTTTTGTTGCTGCAGATTAATGTTTGCATCACTAGAATGGATGGAAAGGAGGAGTTTGCCATTGAACCTAAGATTACAGGGGAGCAGCTGCTTTACAAGGTTTGAATGATTTTTGTGTACTCTTTTTGATAAATTAAATATTCCCAATAAATACACCCACAGACTATAAGAGTGAATTTGCTTCTCAAATAATAATTTGCAACTAGAATTTTAAAATGTTAAATATATTGAAGCTGCACTTTTACTTGAGTCGGTTTTTAATATTGACTCAGTTACATCTAGAAATCTCATTTGTTACTGAGTAGAATTTTTATTACGGTAAGTAAAAATCCATTTGCTGGGTTAGAAATTGGATCCAAACATGGAGGAAGCATCTAGTGGCACATGCGGAAAAAAAACACCGGTTTCTGTTCTTATTATGCAGTGTAAACCTAGTTTGCATATAAAGATTGCACCTTCTTCATTTTAAAAGTTAACATTATACTTACACAAACAGGTGGAGGAAAACAAAACATGTCTTAAAGTTAAGTGTAAAACTATGATCATCATCATTGAAATTAGAGTATAACTTGCAAACGTTTTAATTTATGCTATTACCAAAATCTAAGGCTATAAATAGCATTATTAGTGCTAACCAAGTGCACCCTAAATACTGTATGTCAAAGTCAATTGGCAGTTTTGTGTTATGATAATTGAACATTGAGTGTCAATGACCGTCCTGCCGTCCTTGAATGCTTTTGAGCTTTTTCAACTGCACTGGTCTGCTGTTTACAGCAACTCTAAAATTTGAAAACCACTGCTGCTTAGATTTCAAAAGTATACATTTTGACACTATGGCCTTGTGTACATGCAAATTACAATATTTGACCAACAATTGTAAATAATGTTAGTTTTGTATGTGTGAGTCTAATTCATACAGGCTGAAGCTAAAAACAGAGATCAGGTATTTAGTTTGGAATTTGTTGTTTAAATCTAAAACTAATGTCTGATTGGTATTTGCTGTTTGTCAAAAAATGCAACTTATTAATTATTGAAAGCTCATCAAGGTAAGTGATGATGTCATAATGATGTTGTGTTAGGGTTAAGGAAATATTATTTATGTTAAACTATACATAAAAAAACATTTCAGACCTCAGACTGATGACTTTTGTTGTGCGTACTTTAAATCTTGTCACATTAAGATAAGCGAGCACATGTATTTACATTAAGTGCAGCATCTGCAGTTAAATAAAAACATGTTCTGTAATAATGCAAGAGAAAAAAGGTGTAGTAGAGATAATTTTTCAATTTTAACCTTTTTGCTATTTGATGTATTTGACACCACCATTCAAATGCTTACCTGATATGTTGCAAATCATTATGACTACTTTATTGTAAAGGATTAAACTAAATAGTTTCTTTTTGACTAACTGAGCGTTAACTTTATTGCTAAGAAATCCCTCCCACTTACTTTCCATCATGTGAACCTTTTAACTTCCTTTTTGGGGAGTGCTTGTTATAACGTCTTCACGCTTTTCTCTCTGTATGTATTTATATCTCAGGCCGCCAAGACAATCGACCTGCGTGAGATCTGGTTCTTTGGACTTCAGTTTATTCATAGAAAAGGATCCACAAGGTGGCTAGGGCTTAAAAAGAAGGTGAGATTGTTTTTTTTTTTTTTTTTCATGTATTGGTTAATAAATATATGTTTTATTAGTCTCTTAACACAAATATTAACCATAGATATTTAGAATCTTATTTAAACAGCATAATTGTATTTCTCCATATAGGCTGCAGTAATACTTTCACATTTTAAAATGTACTAAAATGGGGATTATAACTAGAATTCTTCTTTTGATAATATTATTAAGAGAAGCAAACAGTTGGAGAGAAAATAAATACTTCCTTACGTTGGCACCAAAGTTGTAAAGCTTGACCAATGTTTACCCTTGTTTTGTTTCTTTTTTTTTGCGTTTTTATTAAATTTAGGAAAAAAAATATCTAACAGGGGGAAATCCTTTTGAAAGTAAAATAAGCAGTTATAGGTGTAAAATATACATTAAAACACTTAAAAACACAACTTCAGAACAGACTTTTAACCCAGACCATCAGTACAGCTCCCATTCCAGGCGTGGCGGAGCCCATCGCAAACGCACCTAAGATCACCAAAAGAGGTGTTAAGTAACAAAGTACAAATACTTCGTTACTGTACTTAAGTACACTTTTTAGGCATCTATACTTTACTCCATTACTTATTTTTCTTCCTACTTCTGACTTCTACTTATTACATTTTAACACAAGTATCTGTACTTTCTATTCCTTACATTTTTAAACTAAATGTTAATTGTTACTCTTGGCTTCGGTTTTATGTTTATAAATATTTATTTCACGTCATGAAATAAATATTTAATGCAGATCATTGGCGCCATCCACATCTAGTGAAAACTAGCGTAATTGGATGAGTCATATAACGCAAACCCTCATTGGTTAGCTATTCGTAAAATGTGTGCTAATTTGTGCCGCCAAAGGAAATCATCAGAGGCAGGCAGGTGTTCTTCAAACTGCAAACATGAATTGTCTGTGCCATGCTACAATGTCGGATTCAGAAAAAGATGTGGAAATGTCTCAAAGGTCGGACACATTATATCGGGAGATGGAGACTCAGACCAACAAGACCTCCCTCATCCTTGGTCCTATCTCAAAGAATTTTTTCAAAATAGTTGAAAAATTGAGCTTTCAATTCATATTGTGGCATCTGATTGTTTTTTTTTAGGTAACTTTATAATTTTATACTTTAAGTAGTTTTTGGAGCACATACTTTTTCACTTTTACTTGAGTAAAAAGTGAAGTTGATACTTCAACTTTTACCAGAGTGTTTTTAAACTGCAGTATCTATACTTCTACTTAAGTAACTAATGTGTGTACTTTTGACACCACTGATCACCATCCATCCATCCATATTCATTTTCTAGCACGCGTATCCCAAGTGGGGTCCACTGGTCACCAATCAGCTGTCATTTCTGTTGAGACTGGCCAATAGGCACAGGCCCCATGAAATATTTCTCACATAAGGAGAACAATCCTGAATCGAGAGAAAAGACTTAGGTTTTAAGAGCGAGAAAAAAGTTTTGAGAGAAAAATCTAATATTGAGAGAAAAGGTGTCAACTCTGATTGCAAAAAAAAAAGGAATATTTAAGCATAAAAAATTTTTTTTTGAAAAAGCTTTTTCCCTTGGAAATAATTTTCCATATGTCAGTTTATCCTTATGTATTCTATGACAAAATATTTTCTCTCAAAATAATATAACTTGATTTTGAAATAATATATTGAATTTAAATATATCGATTTTACTTAAATTATTTCGCCTTTCAGATCCCTTTTTTTTCTTTAATTTAATAAAGAGAAAATAACTCCATAATTGTATCTAAGGAATGTTACGCAAAGAATGACTATGACTTTTAAAGTTACTTATTGACCAAAAATCTTCACTGCTATGAATCTTGTTTCCTGCTGAGCCATGGTGAATCATGATTCTGCATCCAGCAATTAACTCTTGTGATAAGCCCATGCTTACACTCTACTCTAGATTAATTTTAAAGATTAACTAAACCCCAAACCAACTTTTTTCTTCCCAGATAAACTTAATGAAATGAGTTGCCCTCCATAAGTTGAAGTGCAGATAATGCAGTATCATTTTCGTATTGCTTTCAGACGTTATAGCTTGGTTCAAAAGTGTGTCACAGCCCTGTGCTTATGTATACTGGTCTGATTTTACAGCCAGAGACAGTAGGGGGAGATAACAGACCCCTCAGTCATCTCACAAAAACTTTTCAAGGTAAAAATGTTACTTAGTGCTGCTTTAAGTCTATTTTTCTGGAACGTGGATGTACTAAGCAATACTACTGCTCTTCTGGATGTATTATCAATGATAATCCCTGTTTTTTTTTTTTTTTCAATTCAATTCATTCAGAAAAATAAATTAAAAGTCTCTATCTTACTAAGCCCAGCTGATTACGTCATTTACTTTAAAGGAATCGCTCCTCCTGGATGAGAAAGTAATAAACCTGAGCCCATTGCTCGTTTAGGAGAGAAACAGAACTACTGAATACTGACTAAAATTTGATCATTAGTTTTTCAATATGTGTTTAGGCTGTTTTTTTTTATTTATTATTTCCTAGTTTGCCATTGTACACTTAATCTTGAATTTGTTTTTTAATCTTCTGCAGGTAATCTCTCAAGATGTAAAGAAAGAGAGCCCCCTGCAATTTAAACTCAGAGTTCGGTTTTATCCACTGGATACAGAAAAGGAGCTGATCCAAAACATCACCAGGAAGCTTTTCTTCCTGCAGGTGAAGGAGGACATTCTCTCAGGAAATATCTGCTGCCCTCCAGATATTGCAGAGCTCTTGACCTCCTGTGCAGAAATGTATGAGCAGCACAACAAGTGAGGACATTCACAGATTTACTCAGTCTTGTTAATGCAATGTAACATCACCAATAATTAATTCGCTATTTTTCTTAAGGATAAAAAGTGTTATTATCCTGACATTTACATTTTAGAAGAAGAAGACAAATTATTCTTAATGACCATCTTTTTTTTTTAATCTAAAACAGAGAAGAGGCTGTGATCGAGTATCTAAAAATCGCACAAGGTCTGGCGATGTTTGGTGTTACTTACTTTGAGATTAAGGACAAGGCTGGCAGAGAGCTGTGGCTGGGAGTGGATCTACAAGGTATTAAAGTCTATCCAAAGGAAAACAGGTAAAACCTTTAGCTTGCTTACGGTGCATACTAGTGTGTAAGCTTTTTATTATACCACTCACTGCACATATTAACGGTGTTTTGACAATTCTTAACATACTGTGTTGATATGCAACAAAGTTTTCCATTAAGCATATGAATGTATTCAAACTTTAGTCACTCATTCTCAAATTGCATTTTTTTTTGTTGCTATGGTGTGTATTTTGATCATCGTCATCTTAAAAAATGTGTTCTTTTAGGGTCACCCCTACAACTCGATTACGATGGAATGACATGAGAAACCTAAGTTACTCTAACAAGGAGTTTACCATCAAGCTCACGGATGAGAAATTTCCTGTAAGTCCATAACTGGTCAATTAAATGTACTTATGTAGTGCTTTATCAATTCAGAGGACCTTAATACTCTCAACCATACATTCAGGCATTCATACAGATGGTGCTTAACTACATTGTAGCCATAGATGCCCTGGGGCACATGGAAAGAAGTGAGGCTGCCATACAGTCAGTACCGTGGTCCTCTGACATGGAAGCTGGCTTGGAGCTGGTCTGCCTGGCTGTGTGTTTCCTGGACAGGGCCGCCTTTTACGGTTGCCCTTTGTATCTCTGCTTCTGTCTCCTTGAACCCCAGTCGGCCTCGGCAGATGGCCCCTCACACTGAGCCTGGTTCTGCTGGAGGATTCTTCTTGTTAAAAGGGAGTTTTTCCTCTGCACTGTCGCTACAAGCATGCTTAGTGTGAGGGATTGCATCCGAGTCAATGAGTCGATGCAATCAACTGGTTTTCCTTAGATAAAAAACTTTCTATCAATTTCACTGTATGATCTGGTGAACTGTAAAGTGCCTTGAGATGACGTGTTGTGAATTGGCACTATATAAAGAAACTGAATTGAATCAAATTAATTCCTAGGCCACTGTTGATGTAATATAAAGCATGACAATAAATACAGTGCCAATGATGTATTAAGTGGTAACAGATAAGAAGGGTCTTCAGATCTCTTTGTAGGTTATGTTTTTGTCCATGTCTTTGTTTATTGATGCTTTCATCATTACACCTCTTTTTATTTTGTTCTATTTTGCAGGATTTGAAATATACCCTACAGTACAGCCATGTAGCCAAGAGCCTCCTAAACCTCTGTTTGGGAAACCACTCCTTGTGCATGCGTCACGAAACTAAGAGTGTGGATGTCCAGCAGCTCAGGGCTCAGGCAAAAGAACAGAGTCCATGGAAGAAACAAGCAAAGTCAGGGCTAAACTAATCTCACATTGAATCTGTTTCGAAAGACTAATTAGGTCATTAATTTTTATAAAGCTTTGCTCTCCTTACTCGTGGTCACAGGCATAAATGTAGAATTCAGAATTCAATTAAATAATCAAAGGGCCTGATCTGCAAAAGGTTGATGTGAATACAAATGTGCAAACTGGATTGGATGTAAAAAGCTGATCTACTAGAAAGGTGTAAATCCAGTGACCTGAGTAAAATTAGCATCACAGTGGGCTCAACCTGTCTGCAAAAAGGATTGCAGTGAGACCTGGTGGTGGGCTGGGTATGATGGAAGGGGAGGACTTTGCAGACCTAAGCGAGTAGTGAGGGTCTGCTGGGAACGTCATGTTGCGCTCTTGGCCATGGATGTGTTCCACTGATGTACTCTTGAAGATGTGTGGTCTATAGGAGTACGGAGTCAGAAGCCATATACTAGGGGCTATCCAGTTTCTGTAAGTGGAGCAGGGGTTCAGTCTACATTACCGGCATTAAGTCTTGTTTCCGGTGCTGAACTGCCCTTTGTCGAGGTCTTCACCTAACCTTTATGAACAGGATTTCTAGGTGCAGCCAAGGGCCATAGGAGGTCTGCTTTAGGGACCAGCTGATTTTGTCCCTTTTTTTGCTGAAAATGTGGTTCTGCTGACTCCCTCCTGCCAAGACCTATGGCATGCACTGGGTGGTTCGCAGTTGAGTGTGAAAAGGCTGGGATGAGAATGAACTCCTCCAAGTCTGAGGCCATGGTTCTCGACGGGAAAAAGGTGGCTTGTCACCTTCAGGTTGGAGAGTTCCTGCCTCAAGGGGAGGAGTTAAAGTATCTTAGGGCCATGTTCACAGGAGAGGGAAGAATACAGCAGGGGATCGATAGACTGATCTGTGCGGCTGCTGCTAAACTGAATATGCTGCATTGGTATGTTGTGGTAAAGAGAGATGAGCAAAGATGCAAAGCTCTCGATTTACAGGTCGGTCCACATTCCCACCTTCATCTACCGTCATGAAATTTGGATCATGACCGAAAGAATGAGACAGAGGATAAAAGCGGCTGAAATTAGTATTCTCAGCAGTGTGGCTGAGCTCTCCCTCAGAGATAGGGTGAGTGGCTCTGTCTTTCGAGAGAGGCCGGGAGTAGAGCTGCTCTCCTCCACATCGAAAAGAGTTAGCTGAGGTGATTCAGACATCTTATTTGGTCTGGAGGTGTTCCAGGCAATTCCCAATAAGAGGAGGCCAAGAGGACGGCCCAGGACAAGCAGGAGGGACTTCTCCAAGCAGAGCTGGAGGAGGTGTCTACAGAGAGCAAAATCTCTGCTGCGGTTGCTTCCCCCACGACTTGGTCCCCGGAAAAAGCGGATAAAGAGGAAGACAACGTTACATGGAAAGACATGGAAAAATTAACCCAAAACAACAAGCTGCAATGTGGAAGAAAAGGATAGCCTAATTATGATATACATTTCTTTATATTTGAACATTTATACTTTAGAGAGACAGATTTTATTTGTCATTTTGTGTACACAAGTGTAAAACAAAAAGAAATTTCGTTTGGTAACAGCTCACTGGACAATTTCATCTTTTTTAAACTGCAGTCTTGAAAAATAGTAGAAATTACTCTAAATTTACAGTTCCAACTTTTTGTTTTTGTTTTGCTATCTGAGATTTATTAACCCAATCAAGCTATGAGACAGATTTTAGTCAATGTATGTTTTCTTGATTTTGTGGTCCTTACTGTAATTTGGCCGGGACACGGAACATTAAACTTAACCAAAACATGTTCAGTTTTATGCAAACACATTTACGATATTAAATTCTAGTCAATTCATTATCTAAAAAGCGAGGCAGTTATTTATTTTAAATTTTTACAGAGGACCAGGTTCATATGAATATCTTTTATCCCCCTCATGATGTAAATCATTTTAAAAAATGCTTTTTGTGACAGTTTTTTTATCTTGGCGAAAGAGTTACTTGATTATCTGAACAATTTGGACATGAGAAATAATGATGTAATTTATCGTAATATATCCCAATATATTAACAAATACGATATATTGTGTTTTTTAAATAATAATATAGCTCTAGAGAATCTAACAGGATCTTGTGGTCCTCGACTAAGGCAGGTGCAAAGCAACTGAATAATAGGCTCTTGGGTGATGTGTTGCCAACTAGTGGATGGAGGTTTGGTAGTATTCCAAAAATAACACAATGAAATAGATGTTTGCCAAAATTTTTTTATGTTTAAGATCTATTTGGCTGTATATTAAATCAAACTAAAAAAACATGGTGATATGTTTTAAATTGGAGCACATATTATCTAATCAAAAAGATATATTGACAGGATACGTTTTTTCTTACATAGAAAATGTACCTTTCTGTACATATTTACATTACAGGTTTTTGTTTTTTACTATTATGAAATGTATTTACTGTATTGAGGAAAACATAGAAATACAATCTAAAGCATGTATATCTAGGCTTTAGTCTAATCTTTGATAAAGTTGTGACATATTCTGCATGCCTGCAAGACTGTGATTGTAACTAAACTCTTAAAACCTGCTGCTGTCTCTGTCACCTGGAAACTGTTTACTTTTCATAGAATCTCAATAAAAAACTGTTAACTTTCTTTTTGTCTCATTTGAGTTTTACAGCAAAAAAAAACTTCAAAGATAACAAAATACAATTGGTTTGCAATCCAGCAAAACAAAAAAAAGAAGTAGACTTATGGAATTCTTAGAAATAAAATTAAAAATACATAAGTTGCCTCTAAGAAACAAAACAACACTTAGTAACCATTTAGGGTTTCACAATCTAATCAAATTGAAAAGGAAAGAAGATAAATTAACTTTTAACAGACATGTTTTAGTATTTTAAGAGAGTCCCAGTAAAAGCTCGACATTAACTATGTCATTTAGATCTTAGAACATCCAGATGGAATCCCCTTCAAGGTGTAAATGCGGCAAGAAGTTTACAAAATAAAATGGATCAACTCCTGCCCTTGAGGTATGAAAATAGGTAAAGTTATTCCTTTTTAAAACCTGGGACAACACCAACACAGTGAAAGCTGGATTGGTTCAAATCAAATCATCAACAACATTAGTGAGATTCTTAAAGCATTTAGATTTCAACTAATAAGCAGAAGTTGGCAATAAGAGTATTTCTTGATATAAAAAAAAGTTTGACTCAGTAAAAACTTGTTTTATTGATAAATAAACAGGAAAGATATATGAGACCCAAATATATCTCATTCCCACTAATATGCTGATAATACTTGGCAATGTCAGCAATAACTAATCCATTAGACTACATGCATGTCTTGAAGACATAAAAACCCGTCTCTGAAAAGGAAACTGATTGGTACTGTAGGTCACTATAACTGGATGGGATTAAACTGATCGCAGATTAGAAAGTAACAAACCTTGGTGTTATTTTCTATCAGGACTCACTCTAAGCCTGGTTCAGCTGGAGGTTTATTCCTGTGAAAAGGAAGTATTTCCTCCCCACTGTTTTTGCATGCATGCACAGTGTGAGGGATTGCTGTCGAGTCAACAACAAAATGCAAGCAAAAGTCATCCCTACAATCTCATTTAGGGGGGGCGTGTCTTGCAAGTCAGTGACACAATGCAATTTTTCTGGGTAGAAACACTGAATAACTCTTAACTGTATGATCTGACTGAATTCTCTCTTAAAAGTGCCTTTAGATGATGTGTAGTTTATTGGCACTATACAGTATATATCAATTGAATTGAATCATGTTATCTAGAAAACAGATCTTAAGTTAGAACCCCCCACAAGTACATTAGTAGTTACTGTAAATATAGCTTTTTCAAAAACATTTGGTCAATAGAAGGTGAAACTGTAAAATCTCTTTAAGAAATATTTATTAAAGTTTTGTAAATTTTTTCTAACTCAGAAAAGGACAATCATAGTCAATATGAAGCTAATATCCGAAGGACTAGGAATTGTTTGAAGTGATGTAATCGCTGGAAAAGGGTGGGGTTATATTTAGTCTGGACTTCTTCCCTACCAGTTTGAACAAATAAATATTTGTAGTTTTTTTTTCCTTCTATTATTATTTTCTTTGTCTGTGTTACTGTATATTTTTCTTTTATGGGTTTCATTTTCCCTTTGTTATATGTTCAGTAAATTCAAAATCCAATTAAGTCCAATGTTTCAATTCAGAATAAAAGTTGCTCATGCTCCCAGCTTGATACCAAAAATATTCAATCCATCTTATAAAAGACGGCATATATGTAGAAACGTATTTAGATAAACAAGTTTGAAGAATCTTCTGTCACATTTATGAGGAATTTCTAAACCTCTCAGTTTTTTAAAACTCTTTATTTCTCAAACTCTCTACATAAGGAAATGTGGATTGATATCTGGTTGTAGTTAAGAAGAACGGTTAGGACAATTTTTCTCTTTCTCACGAGCTCTCATTTAATCTCTCCCTACCATTTTCAATTCCTGTATATTCCGTCTTCTCTTGAAAACATTTTCCCTTGCCTCCCACCGATTCTGCTGAATGTCCCCATTGGAAAACATTAAAAGAATATTCTACTCTATTCTGAAACAGACTTGACCAGCTAATACTTCTTTCCAATTTAGAAAGAATACACTGATACGGTTTCTTTTATTGCAACCCATGACTTATCATCTCCAAATAGGCTACAGAAATAGCACATCCAGGGCTAAGTAGCCTTGCGCTCTCCGATCAAAGGTCACAGGAGGTTTGCCTGCTGAAACAGGTGATTGTCTTTGGGTGGAGTTGTGTGGCTGTCCTTCCTTTTACTCACACCGGAGATAAATCTGTTAGTTTGTTGCGATACTGATGAGGTTGGTCCTCCCATATCCCTGTCAGCTATCTCCTTCTGAGTTCAAAAGGACACAAGTCCTGCCCCTGAGCTTGCTAACGAGAGCAGAGAGGAAGTCTTTATCAGGTGGAAGTTTTGCTGGGAGTCGGCCACTGCAGCCTCGGTCAGCCTGGGAAACACTTTCCTCTGTTAGAAGCTCGTCTAAAGACCACCGCCAAGATGCCCAAAATGGTAGGATTTCTTCTTTTTTTTTTTTTTTATAACTGCCTGTGTTATTTTGATATGGTGGGATCTATAAATCCCATACTGTTTCAGTAAATCATATATGAAGAGCAATTTAGGGACAAAATTCATAAAATTACATACTGTTGAGTCTTTATCTGTCAGTCAGTCATAGCCTGATTTATTTACGCTGCTAATATTTTTCTTTTTTTTGTAAGTTCTTTTTTTCCAAGAGGCAGCGATCCTTCTAGTCATTTACTCATTAACTGAAAGTAGAGTTTGACCTATGCTGGACACATTCTCAACAGCAAATTAACACCAAAGTCCTACTTCTTGTTGCACCTGGCAGGTTCAAAGAGACTCTGTGTGGCATGTGTTATCATGATCACTATAGATGTGTCACTTCTGCTTAAATAATTTGTCAAAGTCAAGAAAGATAATCACCAGCAAATTATTACAACTTCAATGTTTAGCTCAAATTGTCTAAATGTGTCAGAGAAGGTCAATATGCTAAAAGGAATTTCCTAAATTTCTTAAATGTCTTCAGTGAAAAGTTAATGAAGTGTTCAGTGTGAAGCTGACAAGACTGGCCTTTACAACAGTAAGCATAATTGGCTCTACAAGGAGGCGGTCTTTATGGAGACTTTATGCTGACATGTTTGACCCACATCACGCCAACTGGAGAGATGTAGCACTGTAACTGACGCTGCGTATTGATGGCGTTGATATGAGAAAAGCTGAAAAACATGTTTTATTACTTGGAATCTGGCTTGTGCTTAAGCATATCATCATAAACGGGGGTTCCCATTTAGTAAAAACCAAGTGGATGGTAGGAATTACAGCCATTTAAGCAGAGTTGAAAACAACAACCAATTGTTTTGGAACTTTTTATGTGCTATAATTTGAAACCTAACAAATTACCAATTAAAATTGGATTAGTTCCCTGTTTTTTTTTCCCTTTGTTTCTTTTTGAAAGTAGACCTACCAGTTAACTTTTGAGTGTCTGGGATTTTGAATTGCAGTAGTATTTTTAATCATATAATGTTTATAAAAATCTCTTTAAATGTAAGTTTATTTTCAAGAGCAATTTCACATACGCTTTCACATAGATGTAGTGTTAGCAACATTAGCAGTTAGCCATGGTGTCTTTTCCATACTTTCCCAGTCTCCTAAATAACAGGTCCCAATAGAGTGGATTCTTTGCTGCTATCATAATCCTCATCACCATGCAGGGGACCAAAATAATCTCACCTGGTCAGCCAGGCCAACAATGCCCCTAATGACTCCCCCCCTTTCAGAGGCATAGACCAGTATTGGGTATTGCAGGCTAACAAAGACCTCAATGACTCCTCGTTACTGAGGGGTGGACCTTTTGTCGTGGTTCAATTTCCATGTTTTCTAAGCAAATAGCATGTTTTCTAACAAACAAGGCTAATTTGGGCAAATCTGTAATGCTTGGATCTCAACGCTAATTCTGACATTTTGAATTGAGAAATCTTCCTGGATGGGAAGCGAAACGTCTTTACATTTGAAAAAAAAAAAAAGTCCAGTGGATTGCTTATTGACTTTTTAAGTCTATAGGTGAGTTTTGGTAAAACAGAGACAGGTTTGATGTTACCAAGGTGGGGCAAATGTAAGCACCCACCCGAAAATGACATTAAAAACAAGGCAGACCTAAATCTAGTTTTTTACTCTGGATTTTCCAGCAAGTTTTAACTGAAGCTCAACACAAACACAAGTTAACATAAACGGTCCAATTTCCAAGTGATGCCTTTCATTAGATGTCAAGAAGGTATAATTAATTTTTGACATACCATTTTATCTATGTAAGATCCTCTCATTGAGTCAAATTTTAAATAACAAACAAACGTAACAATTAGTTAGTTCTTTTGTAGTGAGACCAACAGCTACAGATCTTATTCACCGATTGAACGTTTATCCCTCTCAAGGTGTTTTGCAGGTTTCAACATCAGTTTACGCTATTACATGCATGAGTTTTGTTGTTGGCTAAAAGAAAATAAAAAAAGGTTAATACCCAGCATAAATAATGTAAATGTGTTTCACATGTATCTAAAACAAATACAAATGTTCATATTTCACATATGGAGATTATATCGTGTAGTAACATAGGAAAACCTGTTACATTTTTATGTGTTGAAACTGCGTTGCATTGTAACATATCAAACATTTCACATATACAAATTATAAGTGTACCGACCCTCCACATAACAATCTAGTGTAATGCACCAGAGCGTGCTTAATATTCAATTTAATTCTGTTTGAATTTAGTTCACTTATATAGGGCCAATCCGCAATACATGTCATCTAAAGGCCCTTTAAAAAAACAGTTCAATCGAACTCAAAATTGCCATGTAGAAATTGTAGCAACATGTGTTTCACACAAATAAAAAAATACACAGAAACCAGAGGATTTTCCCGCAATTTCACGTTAGTTTAACATATTTTGTTTCCCCTTGTGAAAATCACATCTGGTATAAAAACAGCAGGAAAATATTGCGCATATTGAAAATTTGTTGCAGGTTTTACCCTTTGATGCCTGTTGTTGCTAATAAGCAACAAACCCCTTGTATTACACTGCAAAAAATGTAAATCTAGGTAAGTCAATTTTTCTTGAAATAAGATTATTTTTTCTTGAATTGAGCAGGTAAGAGAGACACTTTGACATACGAAGAAGACAATTTATATTTGAAATAAGAAACAAAACAACAACTGCAGTCTCTTATTTCAAGTGCATAATATCTAATTATCTTATTTTAAGAGTAAAAATGCTCATTCCATTGGCAGATTATCTTACTTTCCTACTCATATTAAAGGTAAATACACTTATTTTAAAACATTTGAACTCATTTTTAGAAAATTTTTGCAGTGTAGGCAAACAGCCATCATAGCGCTTTTTGCATCACCCAAGTGCTAGTCACAGTGTATGTTATTATGTAGTCATAATTGCTGTTACAAAATATACTTTACCTTCATATCTATTTATTTTGTATGCACACATGCACAAAATGTCCTTTCAATATGTACATGTATATAAATTCAGGCTTCAAGGGGTTAATTAACATGTTAAAATTACATAATGAATACAAATTAAGATAAATGTCCACATTTCAATAGTTTTTGCTCTTATGACACACATTTTCAATATGTATTTTTACCTGCACTTTTTGACGTCAAATGTGGACATAAACACATACGATAGAGACAACGTTTAAAGACTTTTTTTTTTCCATATAAGGTTTGTGTGGTTGCACTTGCTACATTTTTTTTAAAGCCCGAGCCACCCTTGGCTAGAGTGATAAATGCATCAGGAATACACCAGATAAAAATTTATCTCCTCCAGGTGATCATGTAAGGTGGAAACAGCGTAAAAGCCCGGTGATGGTTTCATAATTAGATGTTCCATTTGTTCCTGCCCAACATTTAGTATGTTTATCTTTATGACAGCCAGGGCGTGCTCTGGTTCAACTTCATAAAATGGTTCTATATCTGCTACAGGCCCAAGCCAAATCTATAAATGTGTTTTATTTTAACCGAAAGAATAGAAATAATATATATATATTTTTATTTTTTACTAGTTGAGTTCAAGTTATAATTGAAATCAGAGGTTTTGTTATTTCCTCCAACAACTGATTTCAGTGCCTTCCTGCAGGCAGTAGGTGTTCGGCTGTTTCAGTCCTCGTAAGTGCAACCTTGTGTTCAAATGGCTGGTCTAAAGTCTAATGAGATAGTGAGCAATTATGGTTTATGAATAATCCATTTAACAGGTCCATATTAAGGGTGTGCTTCAGACAAATCAGTCCGCTATTTATGTTTTCCAGCATATCCGAAAGCAGCCAAACTGACAGTTATGTCAACTCAGATATATACTTGACACAAGCAAGTAGTTAAAACATGAAACAATGATTGGGAAGACAGTAAGACTGATAGGAAAATGTCTCCATAAATGTAACCATTGAATTGGTTTCTTTTCTGCAGGTGAATGTTCGCGTGACTACAATGGATGCAGAGCTGGAGTTTTCCATTAACCAAAACACCAAAGGAAGGCAGCTGTTTGAGCAGGTCTGGATGTTCAAGTTCACAAAGCAAATAACATTGTAATGGCGGTTTAAGACCACGGTGGATCCAGTTTTTTTCTTATTGGGGGGAAAGAACAAAAGCATGGAAAAAAGAAAATAGAAACAAAATATAGCAATAGCTTATTATTTATAAGTGAGACACAGAACCAAAGAGCCACTACTATGCACTACCCAGATATAGTGGATCAAAACCGTCATCCTATCTCAATACGGCTGAAGATGAAAGTGCAACACCTTAGCTTCTAAATTGTTGTAAAGATAAAAATGTAAAGATAAAAAACGACAGAGATCCTAGAGACAAATCAGTTATCTTTTCTGTACCACCTCAGATCATCTTTCAGAAATGAATTTATTGCAATGCCTTTATTGTAGGGGTCATGACAGGTGTCAGAAACAGTTCTACAGGGGCTCTGGCCTCTGACGGCTCCTGCCTAGAGCCAGCTATAGTTTGGACTAAAATATCAGTTTTACATTTGCATAGTATCTTTACTTGGAAATGCAACTTACTACTAACTTAGTCAGTGAAAACGAAATAGAGTTAAAAAAGGCTTAAGATGTTTTTTGTACTGGCAGCTTCATGCTGTCGGACATAAATAAATACAAATTAGGAAACTATGATTTGCAAAATACAGGGAGATACTTGCAGAAAATTGCTGAAAACCATTAAACATTCTCAATCTATGCACAAATTTAGCTGTGCTTTGTGCTGTTCTACCCCCCAAAAAGCCTTATAAGCCTCCATGACAGTTTTAGGTTGTAACATAACAAAATGTGAAATGTTTTTAAGAGGAGTGAATATTTCTGCAAAGCTTTGTGCATTTTGTCTAATAGGCATACTAAAATACAAATCTGCTCCCAAGGAAAAACTGCCATGTTTCAGTTTAAAGTACTTGTTTTACAAACAGTTAAAGCAAAAAAAAAAAAAAAAAAAACTAAATCTTTCTGTTTTTCGAGGAAGAAAGACACATGAAGATTTTTACTCTTTTCCTTTTGTCACCAGGTTGCCAAGACGATTGGCCTGCGTGAGCTTTGGTATTTTGGACTTCAGTTTGTGGACAACAGAGGAATTGTCACGTGGCTGAATCCTGACAAGAAAGTGGGTTTACAATGTCAGATTTTTTTGTCCTAGAGTATTGATCTGATGGAGTTTTCTTTTTTTCACTTGTTCCACTTTTATTTACTTTGAATAAAAGAAGCCTTGTCACTTAAAAAAAAACATGTGATGGGTACATCAATGCCATTTATTAAATCTTTACTCTTATTTTATAACCCTGTTCAAAAACAAACAACATTTCAATAAAAGTTGTCTAAGATCTAAGACACAAAATATTATTAGAAATTGGGAAGATAATCTGTGTTCTTTTGTGCATAAAATATTTTACTGGATACTTTTCACAATAATTCATCCCCATTATCAGAGTGAGATAACTCAGCTGCCTTATGCAGTGCTTGGGTAATACTAGTAATAAGAGTAGCGTGAAGCAATAAATTTCACAGCTGATTTCACAATACGTTTAAAACAGAAAGTCTGACTCAGCAAAAAAATAAAACAAAAAATGTATATGTATATGCAATTTTCTTTTAACCAAGTTTAATTAATAAGGGTAGTATAAACATTGAAACTTCCTTAAAGCGGTGGCCTTTCTATGCTATTTAAAGGGAAACACAAAGGTGACAAAGAGAAGAAAAACACCTAAAGTGTTGAGACAAAAATTATTCCATAGGTCAAACTTTTAACACCTCTGGTTTCCAATATAAAGTTAGGCTGTTATACTGCAAATAGGTTTAAATCTCTATTTATTGTTTAATCTTATACCATTACAATCATCATGACATTTTCCTAACTGCATGAATATAAGTTGAGAGCTTCAATGTGTTTCCTTTACCAAATAATAGTGAATTCTTTGTCTTTAGCCAGAAGTATATTCACTGATACCTACTGCTTAATATATAAATATACATTTTAAAGCACACTTTTCATTATCTGTGCAGGTGATGCTTCAGGAAGTAAAAAATGAGACTCCCCTGCTGTTCAAGCTCAGAGTCAAGTTTTATCCCGAGGATGTGGCAGAGGAGCTGATCCAGGACATCACCAGGAAGCTTTTCTTCCTGCAGGTGAAGGAGGACATCCTGACGGATGAGATCTACTGTCCTCCGGAGACCGCCGTGCTCCTGGCTTCCTACGCCGTCCAGGCAAAGTACGGAGAGTACATGAAGTCAGTGCACAAGCGGGGATACCTCTCCTCTGACCGTCTGCTCCCTAAAAGGTGAGATCAGGTTGTGGGAAATCCTACGAGTCTATTCATAGCTTCCCAGCTGAAAAGACAAGTTTATGTTGGTTAAAGGTCTGTCATCCTTGTTGTAGCAATTTAATGCAACTTTAAATCTAAAACAATGTGTTGATTAACCCTTTATAGCCTAAAACATTAACTAACTGTCAGAAAATTCAAGTTCTTAAAAATTTCAGTTGTCATTGAACAAATTTGATAAGTAATTTGCCATTTGTCATAGTTTAGGCTTTTCCCTGCAATTTATTATAGATTTTCTGTGCATTAGATATATCAGATCATTCAAACACACACTGATGATGATGTAGTGGTCTTTAAAGCTTGATGTAAAAAATTGAAAATTCTGATATTTAAATTTCATATAATTCAAGAAATTTTTTTTAGATGACATAACAGAAAGAAATATTAAGAGTTCTTGGATTTCTATCTTAAAGAAACTATAATGTTTTTTTGTTTTTGTTTTTTTTTTATCATTTTTGTGTATAAGATAAGTAATTCATGACACATTTTCTTTTTAAAACCACCAACAGTATTTGAAAAATACTGAAGGGAAACTATTAGCTGCAGTTCCCCTACTAAATAATTATAATTATATACTGATTTTCATCTTTGTTGATCCAGAGGAGTATTTAGCAAAGTAAAGGAAAGAAAAAATAAGAAAGTATTTATGTCAAATAAAGTCTGAAATAGCACCATTGGACCCCTACTGTAGGTGTTTGGTTACTTTAAGATCACGTTCATCATTGGGGTGTGAAACACCCGTGTAAAAAGATAAAATAAAATTTATCTTAACGTGTTTATTGCTTTATGCCGTTGCACTAGTAATAATCTATAAAGGCTATCCATCTCAAGGTCTCTTTTTTCAATTAGCTTGACTTACTGCTTGTGAGCATTTTTTTTTTTTATATATAGAACACTTATTTTGTTCTTGCGATATTTTAATTATTTAAATTATTATTTTGCTGTGTTTCATCTTCATTTTTTACATTGCAGCTTTTTCAGTAAAACCGACTTGAGTTTTTGTAAGTCATGGCGTATATCATGTACATCATGCCTATAAGGTTAAATGGATACAAAATTAATTAACATAAGAAACAATAAAAATTAGTGAAAATCTAACTTTCCTCTTCGTGAAAAGTTTAAGCAAAGTTAAAACATAAATACATGCAAAATAGAATACAGTCTAATATGTATGTTCGTATCGATGCTGTAGATAAAAAAAAGAAGAAAGGGTGGAGAACATAATGTGTAATGTTTTTGAAACATGTATCTTAAACGCAGAGTTTTCATTTTTATTAATATGTTTGTTTGTTTTTTTGCTATTTAGTTATTAATTTATTTTTGCAACTTTCTTTAAAACCAATACATGAAATGCTTATGGTTCTCTTATGCCTTGAAAATCATTCAAATACCTCTTATTTTTCAAAGTTACACAAATACCAGTATATAAATACCAGCACAAAGCGTATTTGGTAAAAAATGTTTTTATAACATGCTTCCAAAAAATTCGTTATAAAGTGAGATGCACATGTGAATGTGGCCTTCTTTATAGAGGCGGATCACTCCCACAGCATGATGCTGCCACCAGCATGCCTCAAAATGGGGATGGGGAGTTCTCCATCTTATGCCGTCTTTTCATGGTCACGCAAAAGTTCTTTTTTTCCCCCTAAATGTATACAGACAAAGAGCCAGTGGATGTTCTTATAGGGGTAGCTCCTCCTAAGTTATCAAGAGCCTCGTTGCTCTTTTATTTTTTTGATTAATGCTCTCTGGATTGATGCTGGATTAAACACACAGGTGAATTTTGCAAAGTTAACTCAAAATGTGAGATCTGTTAACTCATTTCCACTGTATATCACCAACAGTGTTTATAATTCAGAATGAAAGTAACTTGAATTACTAGTATTTACTTAATGTCTTACTTTCCTTGCAGAGTTTGTGTCTTCTTGGTGATAAACATGGAACAGGGACATTTAATGAAGGGAACTTTATTGAAAGTGGATGTTTATTTTTTGAGAAAATCTATATTTTTTCTTCCCATATGCTGCAAAATTAGACCAGGTAAACATCAGTTGCAGTTTCTAATTCAAGACGTAACAGAAAAGAAAGAGCCTTCAGTGCATACAGCATGTGTTTAAATTAGCTCTGTATGTAGACACGGAGTGATCCCGCTTTGAGCCGTGTGGCTTTCTGACAGCTTGTCTCTCCTCTTAGAGTGCTGGATCAACACAAGCTGTCAAAGGAACAGTGGGAAGAGAGAATCCAGGTTTGGCACGAGGAGCACAGATTCATGGTGAAGTAAGTAAAGACCTGCTGACAATGTGGGAGTTTTCTGTCTTGATGAATGCTTTGCATTGTTATGTTAATGAAAGTAAAAAAAAAAAAATAAGAAGAAGAAAAATAAAACAGGCAGGAATGTTTACTTTAAAAAAAAATCCTGTTTAGTTTATATAAGTGAAATGCACCTACATGTATAAAATAAGCATTTTATTATGATATTAAAGTGGATTTTTAGACAGTTTGAGATGCATTTATAAACTTAGTTAGGAATGTAAGGTTATGACAAAAAATATTTTTCTGTTGATGATTTTGAGTAAAAGTAACATTTCTGCTATAAGGTTTATTTCAGTGACAGCTAGTTAACACCCTGAATGACCGACGATAGTATCAATAACCCATGACCAAAGTCCAACATGGCTGCCTTCATATAAAACTTTATGCTAACATGAAGACAGAAACGCCTTTCATTTCACTTCTCTCTTTTAGTTTCTGCTTAAATCTTTAACAGACACAAACTCTGAAACCAGACGCCAACATTTATGAACTTAAAATCTCAACTGTTGGGGAAAAAAAACAAAAAAAATATCAATTGAAGGGCATATGTTACTGTTGGCTTTTATGCGTTAAAAGGCTGCAGAGCCAATCAGTTAACAGGCTGTGCTGGTTTTTAAACTTTGAACTTGAATGCAATTAGGTTGGGTTTAATGCTACTTCCAGATAAAAGTTTCAGCTTTAGAGGTAAATAAAAAAAAAAAAAATACAGAATTTTCACTCGCACTTGTTCCAAGTAAATGTTACGGTGTCTACTTTGAATGAAGCGGCCATAATTCCAGCTGTGGTCCTTGAACATGATGGTTATAGATCTTATTGAACATGTCTAGGTTGCTTAAAGACAAAAGATAAGTGAAAACAGAAAAATAGGAAGCTTTTGAGAAAAAAAAAAAGATCACATTATACAGAACAAACCTATAAAACCTGTAACATCATCAGCGACCCCTCACACCTCCACCGCGGACTGTTCTCCCTGCTGCCCTCTGGAAGGCGACTTTGCAACTTTCACTGCAGGAACAGCAGGTTCTGCAACAGCTTATCCATCAGACTGTTGAACTCTAAACTGGACTTGGCGTCACGCTTGGAACATTATTTTGCACCACCGACATGGCAGAAACTTTTATAATCCTTTTAAATAGGACACAACTCAATTTTATCCTACATTTCTGAACCATATCTATTTTGCACTGCACTGAATATTTCCATATTGATGCCCTTTTGCACCATTCTTTTTTTAAAAGTGGTTTTCCTTTTACCCTATATGGTTTACATGATTATCACTTCTGCACTTAAAGTGATAACGTGCATTTCACTGCTGTAAGTTGCTCATTCACTGTTAGAAGCTGTAACAAAATAATAATAATTTAACTTCATGATCTCACAATGGAGAAATTAATCTCTGCTTTTAACCCATCCCCTTGGGGAGCAGTGGGCTGCCATTGTGTGGCGCCCGGGGAGCAGTGTGAGGTTTAGGGTCTAGCTCAGGCATCCAGAGTGGAGGCCGTGGTGATCTAACTGGGTACTTGCAAGCTTCTCAGAGAACAAGCGCACTGCTCTAACCCATTAGGCCAACACTCCCAAGCTACATAATTTTGTGTTGTATACACTCGGTGTATACAACATGACTATAAAGTTTGTCTAAGTCTAGATGAAAAAGCGGCAAGTGATGTGGGTTTTACTTCCCTCACAATGGCTGCCTGCATTTTCTTCTGTTACAAGAAGATGTGTCCTGAATGATGCTCAAGCAGCGTTTTCCTGAACTAAACCAAAATTAGAATTATAAGTGGGAAAGTCAGCGCAACAGGATGGTACCTGACTTTTACATTCAAGTTGGATGTTCATCAACATGAGTTAAAATCTCCTGCTTCGCAGTTTTCTATTGCAGTTAATAGTTCAGGTAAGACTGACAAGTAAGTCTGTATAGAGCAATATATTTCGAGGCTGTGTAACAGTAGCTGTAGTGTGGTCCAAAAGTGGGAGATTACAGCTCTCAGAATTCTCAAAATCTGGTTCCGAGCACAATGGACCACATCATATGTACTATGATCATCCACTAGGCCTTCATAGATATTGTTCAAAGTAAACAAATAACACAATGAATATTGTTGTTGGATTCTGTAAATATAGTGCTATAATTCAATGTTACCCTAATATAATGGAGCCACACCCGATAAAATAAATAAAACCAATGTTATTTTGACTTGAAACAGGGAAGATGCAATGATGGAGTATCTAAAGATCGCTCAGGATCTGGAAATGTTCGGTGTTAATTACTATGAAATAAGGAACAAGAAGGGCACAGAACTTTGGCTGGGAGTCGACGCACTAGGGATCAACATCTATCCAAAGGATGACAGGTAAAAGCTTTATAATAGGGTTTAATTGCACTGTTTTTGTTTGTTTTTAATTTCTATATCCAGATTTTTTTTGTATCTTCTTCTTTTTTCTAAACGTGGAATTTCAATACTAACATCAGTCATTGTGGACATTTATAGTTTTTTCAGATTGTTTTACGGGGGAGGACATCAAATTAGCAGTCAAACCTCTGCTGCCTTTTATTTTTCCTTCCGTCATGTTTTAGTCGCTTGGCTGACCATGTAGACTGTGTTTCTAACACAAGTTTGACCTATTACTCAACATACACTTCTAATTTCCTGCTTGATTTTCTGATGCTGCCTTTATCCATATTTTTCAAACATCTTTCAGGCTGACCCCCAAAATTGGATTCCCATGGAGTGAAATTAGAAACATTTCTTTCTCTGAAAAGAAATTTATCATCAAGCCAAACGATAAGAAATCTCCAGTAAGTATCCCATGAGTTGGGATTTTACCCAGTGAGTCAGTAACTTTAGCTCTACAAATTAAGCAGGTGTTTTCTTAAGATGACGTTTCTGTTTTTTTTTTCTGCCTCTCAAAGGACGTTATTCTCTACGTTGCACGTCCGCGTGTCGGAAAGAACATCATGCTTATTTCTAAGAGCAACCATGCCCTGTATGTTCGCCGTCGGAAGCCCGACAACATCGAGGTTCAACAGATGAAGGCTCAGGCCAAACAGGACAGGCACCAGAAGAAGATGGAGAGGTAAGACAGATGAAAAAAGATCTTCAAATCTACAAAACAATCTACATGTGAAATGATTCAAGAAGACAGGAAAACAATTTATTTTCGTTCTTACTTCTTGAGCTTTTCACGTTATACCAAAAAAGTAAAAAAAAAAAATGTAAGTTAAATTGAAATTTTAGGGGAATGACCAATATAAAGTAGTCCATATCTGGGAAGTAGAAGGAATATGATCTGATCAGCTCCCGCAGCATGCTGCTGCCACCACCGTATTTCTGGGGGTGGAGGTCCATAAACATTTTTGTACCCAAGCCAAAAAAATGTAATTTTAATTTCATCCTAAAGCAGCCCCCTCTTCATCATTTCTGGAACTGGAACTTCCTTGTAACCAGTCCAAGATAAAAGCCTGATATTTGGGGGTGCATGATTAATAGTTGTCTTGGCAACAGTTTCCTGTTGCCATTGAAGAGTGTGGTTTTGAAGGGACAAGATACCACGTAAAGCTGGTATGGGATGTGAGTGATTAATGTGCGTGTGTCCTGCAGGGAACAGCTGGAGAGCGAAAAGAAGATGAGAGAAAGTATTGAGAAGGAGAAAGAGCAGATGGAGAGAGAAAAGCAGGAGCTGATGATGAAGCTCTACGAGTTTGAAGAGACTACTAAGAGAGCAGAACGAGGTGGGGCAAACCACGTCACAACCAAGCTGTCTAAATATGAACGCTGCTTAAGAAATGGTCCTTATTTTCCCAGTGCACCCAAGACAAAAACTCAGAGCCCATCATCTTTATTCATGATGCAGTGAATGTTTCAAACACTGGAAAATGATTTTACTGCCCTCTGCTGTTTTTTTAATTCATTTATTTTGTAGTTGACAGACCCTGAATGGTACATCAGTTAAAGTTCTGCTTTTGCTGCTTCTGTTTTTTTTTTTTTTTTTTAGATTTTTTAGGCCAATATTCATAGAATGAATAAAGAAAGAGAAACATTTTTAAAATAAAATAGCTTCCCCAACCCCTACTGGCATACAGCATTTAATAGATTCTCCTGGGTGCTGATTTAAACCCGCAGAGCTTCGGGAGCAGCTGGAGCGGGCCATGAGGCTGGAGGAGGAGAGGAGGAGGGTGGAGCAGGAGGCGGCCCGGCTGGAAGCTGAGAGGATGGAGGCCATAATTGCCAAGGAGGAGCTGGCCAGGCAAGCTGAGGAGCAGATGAAGAGCCAGGAGCAGCTGGTGAGTGTACAGCATAAGTGAACCAATCCTGATATAAGTATAAACACACATTAGCTGTTTTAGCTGCAGTTTATGGCTTAATTATTTACTTCTGAATCTTTAAAGTATAACCCGCTCATTTAGGTAAAGCTTTATCTGGATATAGAGGAATTTAAAGTAAAAAAATATATAATCTTGATAAGCACAGATTGTTTATTGTTCTCTAATGTTTTAGTTAAAATAACAGAAAGTCAGAGTAATTTTGACACTTGTGTTTAAAATCCCTTTGCATTGTTCTCTCTTAGGCTGCAGAGCTGCAGGAGTACAGCGCCAAGATCGCTGAGCTGGAGCAGGCCAAGAGAGAAAAGGAGGAGGAAGCTGAGACATGGCACGTCAAGGTAAACTTTCCAAAAGGTGGCCGAAGCCTTCTCGATAGGACGTCAAGGAGGGTGGCCAAATGAAACACTTCCTCACTGTGTCATTGGTTCCAGAGCAGAGAAAAAAAACCATTTTATTCTTAGCAGGTTTAAGGTTATTTAAAAGAAATAAAATGGTTAAGAAATTGCTGAAATGAATGAACACTGATTAAGAAAAAGGGACACATATTTCCATCTTGAAGCAGGAAAAACAAAAGAACATATAATTCATGCTTCTAGTAATTCAGGAAATAGCAGTAAAAAAAAAATTATTAAACTACTCCACAATTCAGGAGTTTGCTGGAAGATCCACATGGAGGCGGAGCTATCATTCAAAGCTCCAATGAGTGGCACTCTCCCTGGTCCATTTATGAGCATCAAGACTTTTGAATTAACTAATCATCTGTTCTGTCTTTACACAATCATAAGGTTTTATGCAATCTTTTTTAAAAGGTGCCACCTGTTAAGCAGGAAGGGACAATGTAATGTTGATGTGCATTAAAAAAAACAAAACTCTAAAAAGTGTTGAGAAACTAATGAAAAAAAGCATACCCAGGAGTTGTCATGTCTTCATCCAACTGTTAGATATAATCTACACCTCAACTAGTTAGTCATAGGTCTCATCTGAAATCTACTGGGAACTTTACACTGGAATATTTTTCTGAGACATTTTTCTGCATCAAGCACCTCGATAAAATTAAACCCATCTTTAAACTGGACAAAATTATGTCTAACGCTAAGTATTTGTCTTTTAATAGCTTTTTTTAAACTTTCATTTCAGTTTCTTTTAATTTTGATCAATTTCTTAATTCTATCATTCTTATTGCAGGGGTTTATTATATACTAAGAAAAAAGTGGAGTATGACATTACACTGAAGCAGTAAAACAGAATAAAAGAAGCCTTTTTAAAACACTTCATAAGACATATCCCAAATCCACTAATGGTTATTTGAAATCATGTGGTGCATTCCCACTGTCTTCTGCTGATGAAGTCCCTTCTGATCGGATATTCCAGGCTGCAGAAGTGGAGCAGAACCTAATAAAGACCAAGGTAGAGCTACAACATGTGAGAACCACCTCCAACTCTGTCCCGTCGGGTGGGTCGTCATCCTCCTCTTCAGACAGCGAGAGTGACAATGAGCACAGCGAAGTAAACAGCACCCACAGCGCTGAGCTGCAGACGCAGGGCATCAATGATCACCGCAGGGAGGAGGAGCGGCTCACTGAAGCTGAGAAGAATGAGCGCTTGAAGAGGCAGCTGAGGGTGAGCTCAGACTTCCAAGACCAAATAAGTGTGAAATCAGAAATAGCAACTTATTTTATTCTAATAAATGTTATTTTCCAAGATATTACAATTTATTCTCAGCATACAGAGCTGCTCCAGTGGCTACAAAATCTATTTAGACATAAACTGTATGGAGAGAATTTTATTTCATAATTCCTGCAAGAAAGATTTTGTTTTGTAAATAGAAATTTAAACAGAAATGAAATTTTGAAAGACTTTTTATTTTAAAAAATGTTTCGGGAGTAATTTTGCTGGTTTCTCAAATGATTTTTTTAATACGTTCAAATCTATTTTTTTGTATTTAGTTTTTAAAAATTTTCTATACATTTTATATTTCCAAATTTTTTTTTCAGATTTTTTATTTTCATTTTCTTTTTACAATTTTGTTTTTTTCAGATTGAGTTTTACAAATTGCATTCTTTTCAAATTGAGTCTCGCTTGAGGTAGGGCTTTCCTTTGCATCGAGGAGCTTAAGTAAATTTCTGTTAGACCGCATGGATGTCAGCAACAACATTATATATATATATATATATATATATATATATATATATATATATATATATATATATATATATATATATATATATATATATAAAATAGCCAGTGTTCAAATAGAAAAATATAAAAAAGAGGATGTGATCTTGGCAATGCAATTTTAAAATAATTAATACAAAAATAATAATCTATTTCTGAAAAAAAATTCTATTTCTGATTTCTGAAAAACAGAAATCAGGAATATAAAATCTGTAAGAAATGAAATTGAAAAATAAAATAAAAAAATAATAATGATAACAATTTGAATAACAAAATCTGAGAAACCAGAAAAATAACTTTTAGTTTTTTTATTATAGTTTTCTAAATTATTATTTTCTGTATTTCACTTTTCAAAATGTTCTTTTTATGGTGTTGCCGTGTTTTTTTTTTTTTTTTCACATTTCAATTTACAAAACATATTCTTTGCTACAAAAATTATGTAGCAAAATTCACTCCATAAGGCTACATTAGAAAAGTACCAAGGTGAAATCAGATAAATGCACCAAACTTTCCATGGAAAAAAGCAATGAACATATGAGGAAGAGCTTTGCTCTGTTGCCTTACAGCATGATGGTGTTTCTAAGTGCTTTTCCAATGTTCTCGCTGTGTCTGCGTGGGCTTTTTTGCCAGGTCCTCTGGCTTCCTCCCACAGTCCAGAAATACGCATTTTAGGTTAAATGGTGATTCTAAACTCGCTGTAGGTGTGAGTGTGCATGGTTGTTTCCAGTGGGTGCAATTTTTTCAGAGCTGCAGACAAATCTGTTTGAAAAGTGCAACCATACAGGTATAAAATTGACATTCTTGGATATTTGGGAGAAAGAAAACATGTTTCATGTTTGGGCCATCTGTACCATGAGTTCTTAGTTTGCAGAACTATTGTTTTCATAGCTTCAGTTTCTGATAAAAAAAAACAAACAAACTGTTAAATCATCATCAGTCCCAAATATTTTAAAGTGTTGCTGTTTCATAATGACCAGTTTGTCAGTTTGATTTGCAATTAAAAACTAAAAATATCTACAGAAATGTAAAAAAAAAAAGGGGTTAAAGGAAGTGTTTTCACGTGTTTGAATAATCAGCTGTGACTCTCTTCGCAGGAAATGAGCTTAGATCTGGAGCAGGCCAGAGATGATACCAAGAGGACCAAGTATGACGAGCTTCATGTTGAGAACATCCGTATGGGACGTGACAAGTACAAAACCCTCAAACAAATCCGCCTTGGCAACACCAAGCAGAGGGTCGATGAGTTTGAGGCCTTGTAGAAAACCCTGGAAGGTGTATCCCATAAAAAAAAAACAACAACAACAAAATACAACGTCCAGGAATGATCTGCTTAGCTTATTACATACTACAGTGATTGCAGCCAGTGGCTGTTCTTGCATAAGTGGTGCCTCGGGCAGGACACTCCCTTCTCAACTCTAGTCCTCCAAATGACACACATACACACACACACACACAGTTTCTTAATTAAAAAAAAAGTTTTAATAAGTTATAACTTACCAGAAACCAAATATATGATGAAGTAATCGTTACAAATCATAAAAAACTAGTTTTGTACTGATTATCCAATGTATAGGTGTGTGAATTTGTAAATGTCAGTAAATAACGTGAATACATTTAAAACTTGCTGTCAACTCAAACATATATGTGACATCGGATGTTTCATTTGTGAGCTTCCATGTTTAGAAGTTACGGATGCAATTAAAGAAGTTAGGACAATCTAAATACGAATCACTAATTTATGACAACGGATCTACAGCCCCTGATGAATATGTTAGACTCTTTACTAGCTGGTGCTGGACATAAAATTTCTTTAAAGAAGAAAACAATACCACTTATTAAAGGTTATGCTGCACCTAACCCTGAAAATTTCATTAAGGATAAAGCTTTTTCTGTTTTCGTCTTCTTCCTCTTGTTCAGCTTTTAATGACAGCTGGTGAACAACCTTCAAGCGTATCATCATGTACACTTTTATTTGCCGTTTTGAAATGTTGTAACTTCGAAACTTTTATTCTCACAGATGAAACATCTGATGTCATGTACATATGAGTTGACAAGAAGGAATAAATACAATATTTAAAATGTATTAGTAATAATTGTCTTACATTGACATATTCAGTCACCTATGTATAAGTTTTTATTGAGAGTTATCTTACCCAATATCAGTGTCTTCACAAAGACTATAACGGGGCCTTAAATAACAAATCTTGTCCGGGGAATATTTTAGCACATTAGAAATCATTTTTAGGTTGGGTTATTTGCAACATTTTACATTCTAAGGATGAACAAATGCTATCTAAAGTCGCTTAGCTTTTAATATACCATATACTACAAATGCAAACTCCAGCATCGTTATCCAGCTATTTTACTTCTTTTTGGCTTACATCATACATAAAATGAAAATAATCACCTCATGCTAGTTAACTGGACATGTAAATAAGCTTTAGAAATCTATTGTCTTTGTCCTGATAGTTGTGCCGTCCCTAAGCACATGCTGCCCTTGGTGGGCAAATGCCCACCAAGCCCTTGGAGAGCCAAATCATCCATATCAAGAACCGCCACTGATTACAGCCATGTGTAACTTTTAAGACTGGCGGGAAAGGATGGTCTTAAACTGTAAAAATACTTCCATTCCTTTTGTTTTGATGCTTAAAACTTTGACTATTTTTTGTTATTCAAAAACATCCCATAAAATGGAGTGTATTCTTAATGGTACGATAACTGAGGATGATGATTTTATTCGAAGACCAGCGGTAAAAGGCTGGTAAAAAGGGGCACGTATGTGTGTTAATCATAAGTGGCCAAATTTGCATTTGCAAGTTTCGGTTTTCTAAACATGTGACAGAGTTTAGATTTATTTAATAAATGCAATATGCTGAAAATAATTATTAATCATTTGTGTAATATCTAGCTCATCCTACCGATTTTCTGACTTGCAACTGAAATGGATTGTGTTTTCTTTGTACTAGAAATTCAGAAATCAAAATAAGTTGGCTCCACATTAAAAAAACAAACAGGAATTCAAGTGAACTCAGCTGGCTCCTCAACGGCTCCAACCTTAAAATCCAACATGGTTTCTGAGGAAAGAAGCTATAATAATACAATTTTATTTGTGTTTTTTTGATCATCTTGTTATCTTCAACAAGATAAATTCCAACAATCCAAAAACATGCCTGTGGATATATTGTCATGCGTGCATTGTTGTCTGTTCCTTAGTGTCTCAGATTTGGACCCGACACCCTCTCCTTAGTATTGGCTACCTCTTGCCCATTAACCACCTTTTACTCTCAGATTGCTGCTTTATTATGAAAGAAACCACAATCATTAATATTTTGTCTGTATTAAATCACAACTGTTGAACACTATGACTCAAGGTTTGATGCCTTTGACTTTTTTGCACTTAAACAAGAGAATAAAAGTGAGGTTGGTAAGATTTTTTTATTTTCTACTTTTTATTTTGATTTTATTTTATCTATTTTCTGTTTATATTTTTCTGAATTCCATATGTTTATATCATAAACATCAACAAATAATTAGTTCCCCATACCTTTGTGTTTTGGCGATGAGAGTAGGAAGCTGCAGAGACCAATACAGTCTCTCTTTTACTGTTCTTGTGTTGTGAAAAATTATTTCTCAAGTCAGGAAAAGACTTTAGCGGCCTTTATTTGACATACATTTTGATTTTGAAAAACAAAAAATTGATGTGTCATGTTGGGTTATAGGAGCTAAACCCAAACGCAGAATCCCAACAGGATGAACAGATGTTGATTACAGTATAGTATAGGTTTGTTACTATGCTCATCCTCATTTGATTAAGATATAATCTTTAAAGCTTTGCTGCAGGTTATAACATGTATTCTAACTTCAGCCATTGAAGTTACTTTCTTTATTACAGAATCATTTACGATACTTCTGCTCAGGTATCTGCAATAAAACAGTAACAAGTTCTCTTCTAATCAGTGATGCATTGTTAGCTTTTATAAACAGATAATAAATTGTATTTTTCCCCCCACAAATATGAGGATCAAAATATGAAAATATCATAATTTCACCAATAAGAGTATAATTGTCTACTTTAAATTCATTTTTCATTTCTGGCTCTCTATCAAGTTATGTTTGCACTTGTACTGCTTGGCATTTAGGCGGCAGTATACACGGCAGAGTCCAATGAAATAACTGATGATGTAATAATCTGCTAAAGTGACCGGAGATGTTTCAGCCTCTGTTCAGATCGTTATAGAACTTTTGAAAATGCTCAAGAGACCGGACCAAAAAATTGGACAAAAGCCTCTTTTAGAGGTGACTTTGGTCCGCTTCCAAATGGATTCTCAAAATGAAGGAAACTTAGGGCTTTTGGAACTTAAAAAAACAACATAAATGGACCTGGAGCAATAGGGAATGTAGGGGGTGTTCATTAGTTTTCCTGCTGGCATTTCCAAAATTCAAATTTCCAAAATAAAACAGAAGATATATTTCAAGGCTGTGTATATATGTTATAAGACCTGTGTCGACTGAGTTGCCCATGACACTATAAATCCTTTTGCAGCTTTAAGCCAGACACAAATAAGAATTTTATAATAGTTCTCATCGATTTCCTGCTCAGTTTGCAAGGTTGTATCTGTCCAATGAGAGGAACATTCATCACATGGTGGATTTGTCTGCTAAAATTCTAGATGATGAGCAATACATTCCTTATTTAGAAAAAAAGAAGGTGTTTGTGCAACTGTGCACTTGTTGCATCAGATCTACTAAGATTGTGTGTCTAAATAACAGATGCAAAACTGTGGCTGCCCACCCTGTTTGAAAGAGGATTCTGCTTACTGGCTGGTGCCATGAGGAGTTTGAGTGAGATCAATGACAGCGGTGCACGTATGATGTCATCCACGCGCGCCGGCTACCGTTCATTCATCCTGTCTGCTGAACTGATGCTAGTTTTACTCACATGCCTGGAAGATGTCTAGTGCTACTACCACAGATGATCTCGCTCTCAAAATGGAATTGAACGATTCAGATTAGCAAGCCGAATGAATATAAGGGGTAGAGCGTAGCCGCCTGTGGCCTGGGCTGCGTGTCACAACTCCAGTCCGGCACGCAGATTACGTCATATACGCGCCACTTTGTTTTTAAAAATATAAATATAAAAAATATAACCGCTGATGTCTAGGGGACAGTGATTTGCCCACATGTTATGAATGCTGGCATACCATAAAGAATAAATTATGAACAGTTTAGTTTGTGCCTTCAACTCGTTGCCCATAGGAAGACGTTACTTGGATATAACCTAACCGAATATCTTCAGAACAGCTCCAAATTACACAAAACTCATATGGGGGAGAAGAACATGATGTAATAACATAAAATCAAGGGCCCAATGTAAAAAAAACGGCGTTTCGCTTTAATAAAACAGATAAAGTCTGGTGGTGCATCAAAAAAATCTTACCTCGGTTTGTTTAACCATCAAAATAAGTCAAATCCATCTAGCACATCTGCTAGATAAAAATCTATAGAAAAAACAAACAAACAGCTATCTCCCTTCTAGAGCCAATTAAAGATAAAACTTCTACTCTGCCTTTATATGTATTTTTTGCTGTGGTAATATTTCCTCACAACAGAACCCTTGTCCACTAAAGCCAAGGTACTTTTCCACACTTCACAGTACATACCAGAAAATAGCTGCTGCTGTCTGTTATGAAAACAAAAAAACAAACATACGTTTTGAAGTTTAAATTAACACCAATAACCAAAACCTATGCAACTCAGTTGATGATTGAACCATATTTTACCCAGGCTATGGCAGGGCTTGAGTGAAGGCCAAGGGGGGAATGGCCACCCACTGTGGAACAAGCATTTCTCCTCTAAACAAGAGGATGGCAGCAGTAAAGACACCATGTCCAACTTCGACATTTCAAGTTTTTGTATTAACCAAAACCTGAACAGAAATACAACAATTAATTATTCACAACTATATAAACCAATAAAAATGAATAAGAAAGAATTTACGCTCTTCCAGGAATTACTTTTTATGTCTTATGGGGGAAAGTTTTTCTCTGCAATAATCTGTGAATAATGTATGTAAGAACATCTACTGAACCCATTTAATTTATTTTTTTTGGTTGATATAGAACCATAAAATATGATTCGAACATCCGTGATTTACAATATGCAAATGTTGTTTTATCGGCAATGGCCTCAAAAAGCAGGTCTGTCGTCAGGGATTTATTTGGAAAATATGCGTCTTTTGCAATTTCAAGGAGCCTACTAGTTTTTGCTACTGAAAAAATAAAAAAGTTAACTGATTTTAAAATTTTATCTGAGTATAATATTTAAAAAAAAAAGAGGTCAGAATTCGGACTTTCATCTCATAGTATGACTTTAATCTCAGAATTCTGACTTTTTTCCTCAGAATTCTGACTTTAATCTCTGGATTCTGACTTTTTTCCTCAGAATTCTGACTTTTTACCCATATTGAAAACTACTGAATAATATTTGAAAATCAGTAGCCTTGTAGCAAGAAGGTTCTGGGTTCGATTCCCGGCCCGGGGTCTTTCTGCATGGAGTTTGCATGTTCTCCCTGAGCATGCCTGGCTTCCGGCTTCTTCCCACAGTCCAAAAACATGAGTGTTAGGTTAATCTTCTCTAAATACTCCTTAGGTGTGTGTGAATGGTTGTTTGTCTCTGTGTTGCCCTGCGATGGACTGGTGACCTGTACAGGGTGTACCCCACTTGGGATCAAGTGTGTGAGAAGATGGATGGATGGCTATTATTTGTTGTAAAAAAGTAAATTATATAGCCATTCACTGTTTTGGCCCAAATAATAATTTGACGGGTAATTGGGGGAAAAAAATCCCTAATCCTTCAGGGTAATCTCCTACAAATGTGCCAGAATATCCATCACCAGGTTGCTTGAGGAATCAGGGCTCTTAATTGTTTAAAGGAAATTTTTTTTTGTTTTGTTTTGAATAAACAGATACACTTAATCACATCTGCTGATGAGGATAACTTCCTGTCAGAGATGAGGATTGCTGTGGGTTTGTGAAAGGTGATTGGATTCAGCTGCCACTCCAAGAAGTCTGTGGGATTGCCCTGAGTGTCTTTTCTTTTTTCTCTTTCTGTGAGATCTAAATATAAGACGGTGACAAATAATCCAAATAGCCTACAGTAGCAACCCAACTGTGATGTGGGGGTGGTTGCGGCTCCATCTCCTAAAGTCTCCTCTGTTGGATCCGGAGTGCGTCAGGAGAAGGTCGCAGAGCGCATCAGCTGCCGCACGCGGCCGACTTCCCCCTCGCATCTTGTTACCATGAAGAGACAAAACGCCAGGACGCTCGCCCTCATCATCAGCATCCTCACCTACCTGGTGGTCGGGGCGGCCGTCTTCGAGACCCTGGAGTCAAAACAGGAGAAAAGTCACAAGAGGAGGCTGGACGCCAGGAAGTACGAACTCATGCGCAAATTTAACTTGACCAAAGCGAACTTCGAGGAGCTGGAGCTCGTCGTTCTGCAGCTCAAACCTCACAAAGCTGGAGTTCAGTGGAAATTTGCGGGCTCCTTTTATTTCGCCATCACTGTGATCACAACCATAGGTAAGAAACAGGTGCATTTCTATTAGAGCTCCTCATTAACACGATTTATTTTGTTTTTCCAAAGTAATGGGTCACTTATAATTATCCATGCCCAATATCACCTTTTAATTGGTGTGTTGGTCAACAAATTGAAAAAAAAAAAATACAGGTGATAAGAGTTAGATACAGGGGCGCCGCCAGGAATTTGGGGCCCCATGAAAGATATTGATGTACTGAAGAATATCATTTACATTTTAAATATAATTTTTTTTGTAAAAGTTCTACAAAGGAAAATTAACAGTACACGAAAAAGTTAAATATACATTGACTTTAAAACTGAATATACAATGGTGAGTTTATTCTTGCTTTGTTTCGTGATTTACTGCTGAAAAATGAGGGAGAACACAAAAAGTATTTATTTAACTGTTGGATTTTCTTTTTTATATTTGAAATATCTATTGGGACATTTCTTCTCTTCTTCTTTTGGGCCCCGATTGAATCAAGGGCCCTTAGAATCTTCCGAACTTTCCCCCCCAATACGGCGCCCCTGTTTGATAGGCGTGATAATCATTAAAGAAGGCTTTGATATGAAGGTATAACTGGGAAATATTTGACAATATTGTTTAAACTTTAAACAGCTAAATAAACTATGTCCTTTCTTATATCATATTTTCACCATAGATTAATTTTTAAAGATCCATTCATTTTCCAATTTTAAACAAACTTAATGTGTTTCAAACTATAAAAACAACTCATGTAACCTTATTTATTTATGTATTTATTTGTTTGTTTATTTTTGTGATGCACCTGTTGGGATCCTGAGGCTTGCCCACCAGAGGGCGCTGAGGATCCCTTCGTAGGGGGAAGCTCCCTGGAGCTTGCGCAGAGCAGCAGAGGGGGAGAAAATCAGGAGGTTTCAGAGGCTGATGGCAGGTTGAGGGGTTGGTGGAGGCTGAGCTTGGTTAGAGCTTGTAGATCTCCAGGTTTGAGTTTCCCTTCCAGATTCTTCTGGGAGCAGGCTGGCTGATCTTTGACAGGTTTGGTTCTCTAGGTTTCTTCTGAGATCAGACAGACAGATTTCCACCAGAGAAACTCTTCAGGGGGTTTCTGGTATCTGGAAGGTTCAACCTGGAACAGAGAAGACAAAACGGATCAGGTTCTGTTTCAGGTATCGTAATCAGGAGACTAGACAGGCAGGTTGGCTCAGGGTTTGCTGTACCGTAACTAACTAACACTCTGGCGCAGGAGTGAGGTTCTCAGCCCGCTTAAGTACTGGTCTCCTGATGAGCAGATGAGGATCAGCTGGTGAAGTCAGCTCCATCTTCAGGAGATCCAATACGCCCTCTGGTGGAGAAAGGTAGACAGAACCCCAGATCCCAACAGTAACACAAACCCCTAGGAAGGGATCCTCGGCGCCCTCTGGTGGGCAAGCCTCAGGATCCCAACAGCACCAAATCAGAAATGTAGCAAAATTCCATTTGTCAAATTTTCGGACCTCTTTAAATAATAGAAATTGAGCTTCTTTTAAAAAAAGAAACAAAAAAGACATGTTAATTATAATATAAGCAAAATTATTTACTACAAAATCTTCCAGATTATAGGACAAGTGGGTATTAACCAAAACAACACCTAAAACAAAGGAGTGAACACCTCAAAAACTGTAAAAATGTAGCTGTGCAGCACTATCCTGTGGTTTTCCATTTAGTGTTAAACAAACATATAGATGTTTTCTCTTTAGCATTTGATCATAAAAGATAAAAATTTTCTTTCAAACAAATTCACACAATTTACTGTAACTTTACCAGAAGGAATTCATCCGATTAATAAGGATTAATCGATTACTGAAATAATTGCCAATTAATTAAATTGTTGAGTAATCACTAATTGAAGTATGCAGACTCTAGTTGACATTATGTTTGCTGAAAAAACAAGAAACACTGAGCAGTAATTTATTAAGAATCCTTTTCACTCATGTTTAAAATACATTAGCCTGGGCAGCCATATTGATAGGCTACACCGTGAATTAGTCAGGTAAAGAGCTGATAGAACTCGATTTCAATGGTAGGACTAGCAGGGTCAACCTCATCAGGTTAAAAACATCAGAAAACTACGTGACTCCAAGCGATACTGTTTTTTTTGTAATTTTATAGTCTGTGAAACATGTTCATGAAACTCTCCAGGGAAGGATTTCTGCTGATTTTGCCTTAAAAAAAAGTGGCTATGAGGGGTTATCTCTATTTTTTTTTTTTTTTTTCATTTCAACATTGCTCCATTGCGGTTGGCAACTAGTTGTTTTACTAGCAGAAAACCACTGCTGCATTATGGGTAATTCTGGCTCTGAGAATCATGCATTGTAAAGTCCTGCCTTTTGGTATTGGTCTGGCCAGATCTGGCTGAATTCAACAGTGGTTTACCAGACTGTCTGCCTGATTAGTCATGGTCATATTAATATTTTGTAGTATTAGCTAATATAAATGGTCATTTAAAGCAGTGCTTCTTAAAGTGGGGGTTGAGGGATGGTTTTCACAATCATTGTGATATGATCCCTGAGGTATTTGTCAAGATTCAGAAGAGAGGACCCATTCTTTAAAGCAGACAGACAGTACTCAAAAAGCATTCATTTAAAAATTGATCTGCAGTAACAGCTGCCAGAGCATCTAAGGCAGGAACATCTGCAGAAAGGAAACACAGGTTAGTAACCATGTAAATCTGACATGGAATGATTGAGGTTGATGTCGGTCAGCTGAGAACATGAAGTGGTTGCCACACAGTTCCAGTCAGAGTTCCAGACACTGAAGCCTTTAACACTACAGAACTGGCAGTAGATCAGATCCAAGCAACTGAAGGAAGGCAGGACAATCCAGATGGTGAAGTCCAAACTGGTGTTGAGGAAATGCTCAAGATTCAGAACCAGGAGATCAGAGGTCCGAAGAGTTTCCGAAGGGACATCCAGGCCGGTGACAGGAGTCAGTTCCATGTTAGGTTAACAGGCTGAATCCAGCAGAAGTCAGAAGACAAGTCAGGCAAACAGAACAGGAACAGGCAGGCTCAGATATCCAGAGTCAGAATGGGTCAGAATATCAGAATACAATCATTTATGCCAGATAATTCGCACCAAATGCTGGAGACTAATATGGCACTGATGACTGGAAGCCTGGCAGCTTAAATAGAGACTAGAGCATGTAACACAGATGAACGCTGATGAAAAAAAATGGGCGGGGCTAGGCAGGTGAATGGAATGAACAATCAAGCCAGTCATCAGCACCAAGATCCTGACAATGGAAGGCCAAAATACATCAAGAAAAAACGAATACCCCAAGAAAAGAATAAATGTACATTGAAATATGCAAAAGCAATAGTTAGTTATTTCTCTAAAGTGCGACTCAAATATAGTTACCATTAAACTGGGAGAAAAGAGTGAATAAAATGTATGAATGAATGAGGTTATCTTTGTTATCATTAAGTATTAGAAAATATAATTTTTTGTGAAAATGTGTAATTTTAAAGTGAAAGTCCAAAATATTTAAAGCTGAACTTTGAGGCCCTAGATGCTGTTCAGTATGTAGTAAAAGTTTAAGTTTAAATATAATATTAAGTTAAAACATGCTAGGTAATATTCGTCTTTCTAAACTAAGATAATAATAATTGAATATGGATAAAATTAAGGTAATCCAAACGTAAAAATATGTATGATCAGGTGTAATATTTGCTCTGTTGCCTAACAGCAGCCCTTTGGGATTAGTTGTTGTCTTTAAGGGGAGCCCAGCTCTGAGTCACATCCTTTTAAGTTACATTGGAGATTACTTGAGAAGGGCAGCCGACAGGGAGTATCAATAGACACAAGTGCTGAATATGGAACTAAAAAGAATGTAATCCATCTCAAGTTAAGTTAGTAGTAGACTCAGAGGTTACACAATGTCACTTCAAGAAAATTGAATCATTTACATACTATTATTTGGTATTTTTTTTCATGCCGTCTTGGTCTGGTAGTATTTAGACATGGAGAGACTCTCACAGAAAAAAGTTGTAATTATAAGGATGTTTATTGATATGAATGAAATGCTGAAATGGTGCTCTGACCAGCAGAAGACTTTGATGCTGTGAATTGACATGTGCTCTGAAGAAAAGTGTAGGATATGGGTTAGAGTAGTCTTCCCCCTGGGGCCCAGACAATGGTGGTAGAATAAGCCCAAAGATGAATGAGACTGAGAATAGCCTGAGTGTAAAGGAGTATATGGGGCGGAGGTGGGGGAAAGTTCAGCTGGAATACAGGAGAAACTCTGGACAAGGGAGCTGATGATGAGATCTTTGACCATGATTGGCTCCAGTGGGGGTGCAGTCCAATTGACTGGACCTTTAAACGTGGCAAATTAGCAGGTGACCCAGGTAAGGCTGATTAGTCTTCTAGGTTGAATTTTTGCTTCAGCTTCATTTATTTGGTGACCTGAAACATGGCTGCAGTATTTCACATTGTAGTTTTTGTTAGACTGCTTTGTCTTGACATTCGCTGTTTATACAAAATTTCATTTTGGAATAAGTGTGCTGCCTTTGCTAACAACAATAGTGGAACAAAAGTCACTCTACAGTTTAATAAATTATCAAAAAACTAAGTGTGGCCTTGTAGGCGGTCCACTGTGTTACTGAGGCTCTCACTGTAATGGCGTAAGCATTTCAGGGATTATCTCCCCTCCTCCAGCCTGAGGTGGTTTTGTCCAGTCCAAGATTGACATCAATATTAAGCCAATACCAAAGTTGGATCATGTTGGATCACGCCTATGTTTTAACTGTTTTCTAAATTAAGACAGTTTAGCAGGAATTACTTTATAAATAATTTAATTAAAATACAAAATATGAATTGTTGCCTCATTTAAAGGTATACTATGCAACCGGTGTTGATTTTCCAGCGAGGCTCCCCCCAGAGGGCGAAAGTAAAAGTGCACTGTCGTAAATATGCACAGCTGTTCTCCTGGTTTCTCCGTCAAGCCAGGCGCGGTTGTTTTGAGCTTAGCAGACAGGTGAAAGCAACGAATGACTTTATGCTGCGTTCACACCGCAGCTGGCGCGACAGAAGCAGCGAGTTTACATGCAAAGTCAATGGTTGACGCGTGTCAAGGCGCAGCAAAAGGTCCCGCGGCGCGTTTTGAGCAGCAGGCGCAGCGCGTCTGAGCAGCTGAAGCAGCACATCGGGCGCGTTTAAGCATCTGACGCGCTTGACGCGCCGCAAACGCGCTGCTGCTCGAGATGGAAAAATTGAATTTTTGCTGCTCGACGCGCCGCGTCAACCAATCAGAGAAGCTGATCTGGGAGCTGGCAAGGAGAGAGACACAGCACTGATGATCAGAGCGCTATGATCACTCCTCTTAAACAGTTTATTGACGCCTAAATTAACTTAAAATGCAGAAATCTGCCGACAGAATATGTTCGCTTTTATTATCCTGCTGCCTGCAGTTTGGATTATTTAGCTGAAAAACACCTACCAGCTGCCGCGGTGAACCGCGAGGAGGCGACCCGGCCAGAGGCTGCTGATGAAGGGATTCCTACTGTCGGCGCACCGCTGGTATGTGGGGGTCTGAGCGGCTCCGACAGAAAAAATATTTGAAGGCAGGATGATAATCTGAATGAACTGACGGCACTGATTACGTTTTCAGGTGTATTTTCTCACTTAAAAACATATTAAAACTACTTTATTCCCACTGATCACAGCAAATATAGCTGCAAGGCAGAGAAAGGATAGTGAAGCTCCGCCCAACGCGCGTCAGACACACTTTTGCACCGCGCAGCCAGAGCAGCAAAGCTGCTTCAGCCGCGCGTCAGAACTAACTGGTACAAGCAGCAAAAATGAAGCAGCAGACGCAATTTTGCTGCTTTTGCTGCGTCCGGTGTGAAAGCAGCACTGCACAAAGATCGCCACTGTGCTAGCAACGAGCATGCTTTTAACTGGGGGCGTGTAGCAGTTCTCGCCGTAAAGCAAGACCGACTCTCGCAAGACTTCTGAACCTGTGGGTGCGGGTCGGTGCTCCTGCAATTGCAAGTGCGGTATTTCCCCCACAGACCACCAGGGCGGCCGAGAATACCTTTGTTTAACCTGAAATGACTCATTTAATCATCCAAAACGTTATGGAACACATTAATTAACTGAAAAATGTTGCATAGTGTGCCTTTAAAATTAAACAGTTCATTAAATCCTGCAAATATTTGAATGTTGAATGTTTGAACATTTGGTTCCTTTTGCCTGATAAAAATAAAATAACTTTCTTCACGTTCTATGATTTGACAAAAGAGGCTTTCTCTTTACAGGCCCTGTTCAGATGACAAGATTCTGCTTGAGAAAAGATTTTTTTGTTCATAGAATTATATATATATATATATATATATATATATATATATATATATATATATATAATTTTTTATTTTTTTGCAAACGTTTCTTTTTTGTATCTATTTAATTCCTATTTCTCTTGTATTTCTCTTTCTGGATGGAGTTTTATGTAGTGCATTCTTTTTAAACTATGTTTTACAGTTCACATTCTCTTCACTTTAAGCCCAATAAAATACACTTGCTCTTGGCCAATAAAATGTTGTTGCTAACGTCCAAACAGACCAAATGAAATGCGTTTTCACTCCTCGCTATAAAGGAAAGAGAATTGAATCTGTAAATCGCAATTTTTAAAGAATGAAAAATTTTTGAATTATTTATTACCTCATCGCTACTCCTCTATAAAAAAGCCACTGGAAACCGAAATGTAGCTCAATCCAAATGCAGGTGATTGGGAAATCAGGATGTTTACAGCACTATGCGCTGGTTCTCATGGGAAATGTGGTCTTCATGCAAAACAATACAGCTTTTGCCCACTGGGGAAGCCAAAATTGACAAAAACTGAAAATTTTTAGAACTCCTTTAAATCATTTTCAAAAAATGTAAAAATTAAATAAGATTTTTTAAAATTCGAAATAAAACCCAAGAAAATAGGAAAAAAATATTAAACCAAAAATAAGAGCACAAAATGTGTTCTCGTTTGCAACAATAATGGAACAAAATTCACTCCACAGTCATGTTGACCTGGAGATGAAAACAGTAACAACAATGTTATTTCCATGTCATACCACTAGTGGGCGGTATGTTGTTTGTACAACCTGCATGTTTACAAAGACTTGCTGCTTAAAAAGCCACTCCCACTAGGTTGTTCTGCTCATATGCCAGCCTGCACACTAGCACTGTCCACAGGAGTATCTTTTTAGTGGAATCGGAAAGTTTATGTATATTTCTGCTGGTTATGTACATTAAAAACTGGCAGCGTTTTCTCTTAAAAAAGGTTTGAAAAAGTGAAAGCTGGCAGTATGTGGAAACCAGTATGGGGAAGCATGGGGCAGGCAAGCAAACACTGTTTTAACACCTACCTGTGTCTTGTTAACAGATATTGGAAACCAAACCAATCCCTTTTTCAATGTATTGTTGTCTTGTTTACAGGGCCTGTGAAACTCACTCTTCAGTTGTGCTATTTTCAGAAAAATATGCTCTGTTATGGTAAACTTTGCCTTTATAGTTCTAGGGGATGTGGTTTTAGAGCAGTTGATGTTTGTTGAGCACATTCCTAAGATATTAAGCTGTCAAGTGATAGAAATCAGAGATAAGCTGTGAGACCCCATATTTACGATCCTGTATTCTGTTGTAAATATGTGACATACTCTCTCCCAGGTTATGGCCATGCAGCACCCAGCACCGACTCAGGAAAGGTGTTCTGCATGTTCTACGCCCTGCTTGGGATCCCTCTTACCCTGGTCATGTTCCAGAGCCTCGGAGAGCGCATCAACACGTTCGTCAAATACCTGCTGCATCAAGCCAAAAAGTGCCTGGGAATGCGTCAGACTGAGGTCTCCATGGCAAACATGGTGACAGTTGGCTTCTTCTCCTGCATGAGCACCCTGTGTGTGGGGGCTGCAGCGTTCTCCCACTGCGAGGGATGGAGTTTCCTGCACGCCTTTTACTACTGCTTCATTACTCTCACCACCATCGGCTTTGGAGATTACGTGGCTCTGCAGAGGGATGACGCTCTGCAGAATGACCCTCGCTACGTGGCGTTCTGCTTTGTTTACATCCTCATGGGCCTGACAGTGATTGGAGCGTTCCTAAACCTTGTTGTGCTTCGTTTCCTCACTATGAATACAGAGGATGAGCGGCGGGACGCCAAGCAGAGGGCCTTGATGTCTTTGGGAAAGCCCAGAGGAGAGGTGACTCGTCTTTTACCGCTCTCAACCTCAACTTCCTCCACAGCCGTAGCAAACAACACCACAAAGGCTAAAGATTCAAAAGGTGCCTACACCGAGGTGCTGCATTTCCAAACAATATGCTCCTGCTTGTGGTACAGAAGCAAAGAGAAGCTGCAGGGCTCCATACCCACTATGATTCCTCAGGAGATGACATTCTCTGATGCCTACTTGCAGCAGAACAGCAACTGTCCTCACTACATTGATCCTGGATCAACAGGCTGTGTGTGCAGTCCACGTCAGTGCCCCAGCATAAGCTCTATAACAACAGGCCTACACATTCTCTCTCCGTTCAATTTGTTCAAAAGACGCAGCTCTGTTTAGCCTTTCGCAGCAGCTGCTCGAGCTGGAGCCTTCAAAAATAACCATTAACTGCAACTAAATGTATGTGGTGCTAAAATCCTGGTATTCCAAGACTATAATGCACAGAAAAAGGAAAGTGCACTATCGGCAAAGTTTTGATCAAATATGAAATGGAGGAAGAACAGCCAGCAAGGTTTTCTTTTTAGGAGGTTTTCTGTGGATGATGGTACATGAGCTTAATGCAGTGCATTTTGTGCACCAGAGATAAAGGCATAGCAGATGCTGAAGTCAATGAAATTAAGAGATATGAGAACTAAATCTTATTTACCCTGCAGCATTTTTAACATTACATTTTTTTCTTTAATTATTTTGTTTGAGGTCTCTTAAATGTAGGCTTGCAATACTATGGAGTGAATTTTGTTCCATTGTTATTTCAAGCAAAGAACATGTTTTTTAAAACAAAAGAAAAAATATCTTTCAATTTACCATCCAGTAATGAAGCTTTCAAAAAAAAATTAAGAAGTGATGTTGAGAGTAAATTTTTTTGGGTGTGTCAATTTTTTATTTTATTTTATTTGTTAAAAATGTTTTCAGAATTAATATCTCAAAATTTGACATTGATATTTCAATATGCGCAATGCAAAGCAATAGAAATCCGTCTTTGCACCTCATGCAGGAGGAAAACCCCCTGAAGTGAAGAGAATATGATATGTAAACACAATTTGAAAATAATGAAATTGCAAACTCAATCTGAAAACAGAAATGTAATAAAAATGCAGAAACCATAAATTCTTTAAATATTTTTTAAAGGAAAATAAAGCAAAAAAATATTATCTGAAAAAAAAAAACTTTGAAGAAACAAACCTTTAAAAAACAGCAAAGTTACTCTCAACCCCTAGTTGTTTTTTAAATTTAAATAACATTTTCAGTGCAACAATAATGGAACAAAAATCCCTCCATACATTGCATCCAGCTTGCAGACAATTCATAGACATCATAAATTCTGTTTTCAGAAATATAACAATTATTTAACCACAAACTGTTTTTGCACTCAGTTTAGTCTAAGTTGTATAATCCAGTCAAGGTGAAGCAAGGACACGTTTAATGCTTATCTCAAGGTTATCCTACTGAGAACAATAGACAAACCAATTGCATCCTGTCGTATATAGAAGAAATTATCAAATAACACTTGACATTTGGTAAAAGCAGGAACTTGCAAATCAGGTTTATTGTTTTTACTGACAGATATTATGTAATGATTTGTGTCTCCCACTTTTTTTTTGTTTTTGCTGCTATAAACCCAAAACAAATTACTTTTTGAACTAAACTTTATAAGCCAACTGTAGAAGAAGTATTTAATTAAGTATTTAATTTTTTTTTATTTTTTGTAACACAACAGGGACACTGAAAACTGATTCCTGTTTCGCTTCAAAATCAGAGTCTCAAACATAAACACAACCTGTTCAAGCTTTTTACATGTGTCCAGAATAACAGCGGGAACCTGTTTCTCCTGTTAAAGCCATTGCACAATGCTGAGGGAGTAATTGATAGGATATGTTTTGGCATTTTATTTAAACCTTATTTCATAAGCTACATCCTTACTACGAAGACATGACACTTTTTCTAGACCTTGCTCATAGCTTTTTGTCACCAATCAAATTTTTTGTTATCCTGACTTGAAGAGACAAATTTCAAATGAATCACATTTGTAGCTGCCCCATTATAATGACTGTCACCACTATTTGCTGTCATTTGTCATGTGGAACATTGGCAGAGAAGACCAACTATAAAAAACACTGACAGAAATATTCCATCCAATGCAACTTTATTTATAGCACTTTAAAAAAGATTAGTACCAAAGTTCTACACAAAACCAGAGATAGAAACGCCATTAAATGCACTAAGATTAACAAAAAATATAAAAAAAATAAATACATAAAAACAATACAGAGAATAAAAGAATTAAACATAAAATCAACCAACATTGTTGTGAGTATTAAAGGCCGGAGAGAAAAGATGAGACTTTAAAAAATGCCTGCCTGATATACAGCAGGAAATCATTCCAGAGTTTGGGACCGACTACAGAGAAGGACCGGTCCGGGCTGATATTACGCCTCGTTCTAGGTACTGACCGCAGTAACTGATTCACTGACCTAAGAAAATGAAGTGGAACATAAGGATGTAGGAGATCGGCAATATATGGTGGGGCATTTAAAGACCTAAAAGAAAAGAAAATAATTTAAAATGAATCCTAAAATTAACCTGCAGCGAGTGAAGCAAACTTAAAACTGGGGAGATACGCTTGTTCAAACTTGCGTGTCCCAGTTAAAAGATGGCAAAAGACCCACAGAAACAGAAGAATCATAACCACATTAGACATGACGTGCACAGAGTTATGCCGATCACATCTGGAGCGAACGGTAGTTGCAAATGCTTTTTGGGAACAGTTTGTTGGGGCAGATGGGAGGGGGGTTACCACGTTGGTACAATGTATAATTAGTTGGTTGTCAATCACAGACAGCTTTGCATGAATAGACAGAATGAGCATGATTGATAGAAATAAAAAAGCATTCTCTGTCAGCTAACATTTGACTAAATTTGGCTGTTTGTCTGTGGTTAGAATCAACGGTAACCTTTACTTAATATGGAGGAGCAGAAGCAGACTTTTAACTCCTCAGGATGAATCATTTCAAGTTGACCATCATTGTACTTTCCAGCTTAACAATTAAAAAGCTTAAGAAAACAATCAGATATGAAACATTTTTAGTCATGACAAAGAGAAACGTTCCTCTTTCAATGCTAGGTTTCCTATTTTGGGAGTATTTTAATGGAAAACCAGTGCCCACTGTTAGGGACTGCAATTAAATCCTATTGTAACTTTGTTTTATTTTATTTATTCAAATCAATCACAAGCTTGACTGTCTGTCTTCTAGCACAACATGAAAATGTGATTCAAGCTCAGATCATTGTCAGACAGTCAACTCTGCACACATATGGAGTAAATTCACAAAGACTTTCATACTAAATACTGTAAATATGAACAAAAATCTCCAATTAAAAAAGTGATGTTCAACAAAACTAATTAGCCACTATGTACACATAGGAAAATGAAATAAATTGTCCGAAAACCATAATCAAGGATATGATGCAAGGATATCATAGTTTGGCATGGATTTTATGTTTAAGAACCAAAGTCTATCTTGAAGTATTTGGAATGTGTTCAAATTAGATTTTAAACTATTGTAGAGAAATTGGAATGCATTCAAACAATTCACAATGCAAATCCAAGAGACAAAGAGAAGATTGTTTGTTAAAATAATGTTTTAAGACAAAGAAGCAAGCTAGCAGACATGATAGGACTAGTTTTTTTGGTCATATTTTAGCAATCAAATGTAATGAGCATATCAAGAAACACAAAACTAATGCTATATTATGTTTAAATCCTTGTAAAAATAAAGCTTCTCCAACGTAGTAAACAGCAGCTCCAAACATGTTAGTATTGGTTTAACTACCATAGGATTGCTTATAGCTTCTGGCTTGCTTTACTTGACAGTAAAACACATTAATTGATCAGAAATCATGAAACACCCAAGTTGTTAGCTGGGAATTCTTTACCTAACCATGCCAGATCTGTTACCTCCCTGTATCTCTTCTAAGTTCAGGAATGCTAAGTTTAGGCTGTGATCTTGGTGAGTCTGTGTCCAGATGGCCTTGCTGGGAGGTTAGGTTTGCATTTTGTTGGTCTCCTAGAAGTCTATGGGAAGGCCTTACGTAAACATATCACCAGAATGATTGACAATTAGGAGGACCTCTAAATTTGATGATCTACCCGGAAAAAGAAAATCCTACACTATATCTCTTGAGCTGCAGTTTAATTCAGTTTATTTATATATTGTCAAATTAAAACACATTATTTTAAGGCACTTTACAATTCACCAGATCATACAGTGAAATTGATATAAACGTTTCTATCTAAGGAAAACCAGTTGATTGCATTGACTCAAGGTGGGAATCCCTCACACTGAGCATGCTTGTGGCGACAGTGGAGACAAAAAAAACCCCTTTTAACAGGAAGAAATAACCTCCAGCAGAACCAGACTCAGTGTGAGCGGCCATCTGCGGAGGCCCACTGGGGTTCAAGGAGATAGAAGCAGACATTGATAAAGAAGCAGAGATACAACAGGCAACTGTAAACAAGCTCCACAGGTGGCCTGGTCCAGGAAACACACAGCCAAGCAGACAATCTCGATCTCGAACATCTATAACCAAAGATGTTGATGGCAGCAACGCAGTTGATATCTGCAAATAGAGATAGAATGAAGCAGAATGATGAAAAAGGGGTCCCTATGTCCTCCAGCAGTCTAGGCCTATAGCAGCATAACTATAGAGATGGCTCATGATAACCTGAGCCACTCTAACTATAAGCTTTATAAAAAAGGAAAGTTTTAAACCTACCCTTAAAAGTAGAAGGGTTGTCTGCCTGGTAGTTGGTTCCACAGGAGAGAAGCCTGATAACCAAAAGATCTGCCGCCCATTCTATTTTTAGAAATTCTAGGATCCACTAGTCAACCTGCAGATTGAGAGTGAGAGCTTTGTATTGAGAGCTTGGCCATTCAAGGCTATATATGTGAGAAGGATGTAACAGTAAAAAAGCTGCAGAGAGGTGTGTTAAACTACGACTCTGCTTCTGGTCAGCACCGTGGGCTGTCAGTGTTTTGGAGGACTAATACATTTGGCCAGATTCATAGAAAGAAGAGCTGCACCAACCAAAGTGGGATGGATGCTGTCCCTCCAAATCAGATCAGGCTTTCCCCAAAAGGATTGCCGAATATTAATGTAGCCCACGTTGTTTTTAGGACACAACCTAGACCACCAGCCGATGCTGCTAAACATGTCATCACTGGTCAGATCAGGGAGGGGACCAGAGAAAATTACGGTCCGACATTGTTTTGGCAAACCTACACACTGAAGCAACGCTAATTTTAGTGACCTCTGATCGGAGTAACTGGGTGTCATTACCG